TTTCACTAGAATGTCCCCAGATATCACAATCTGTATTTCTTTTTCCTTAGGTCACTTCTCCCAGAAAAAAAACCCATCAGCCTTTTACCTGGGGGCCTGGGGCAGTGTCGCCACTTAATCCTTTTTTTCCCTGCATTCAGCTATGGCTTGTGTCCCCATAGCTGGTCCTGCTCTCTCAGGAGCTTCTCAGGGTCAGCAGCAGTTCTGGGTGTGTGTGTGCACGCACGCAAGCGTGACAGAGAAATGGGAGTGATGGCTGACAACCTGGAAATCTAACTGTTCCCTGCACAAATTTGCAGCTGATATTCAGGTTTTAATCTCATTTCATACCCATCCTCAGTGTCCCCAATTACTGAGGATTTCCAAAGCTCCATGGTGCAAACCTGCCAGCTTCTTGGTGGATTCTACCATACTGTAGGCTTGGGTTTCAGTTTTCTCAGTTCTGCCATTTATGTATCAGCAACTAAACTCAAAAAAAAATTTTTTTTTCTCCAGCTGGCTGGACTGAACGCAACTTAACTTTAACATCTCCCATATACTATTTCTCCTCTTCCATTTCTGTATTGTTGAAGGCGTATGCTTTCTTATACCTTTATCACCATTTTAGTGGGTTTTCAGGAAGAACAGAAATAAGCACATGCTCGATCCATGGAAGTCTCTTGCCATGGTGAATTTCAGACAATAAGCAGCATAATTCCACCCTTTATTTCAGGCAAAATCACACCCAGAGTAGTGGCTGGAGGCCCATTATTACCCGTATGCCCTATTTGGCTCCAGTGGGCACCCCCACCGAACCCTTGCAGGGCCCACTTTGAACATTTTTGTTTCCCACACATCTTCTAACCAGCATAGCTGTTCCATGTATCCTTCTCAAAACACATCTTTGACATCCCGTATGCAGGTTGGTACCTCTGCCGTCCCTCTAACGTGGACTGTGGACTGTATTCCTGTTCTTTTTAAGTTCAGCCTTTCTGGCAGGAGTGTGAGCCACTTCCCCGTGTGAGGTGTCCACAACCCTGTCGCTCTCCAGTAATCACTCTGCTTACTTCTGTCTGAGCATTAATGAGAGTGATTAAAGAGCACATGACTACACTCATCCTTAGCTACCAGAGCCAAACTTACTACTCTTGCATAAAAGGACTGGTCCTAGCCAGGTGTGGTGGCTCACGTCTGTAATCCCAGTACTTTGGGAGGCCAAGGCAAGAGGACTGCCTGAGCCCAGGGGTTCGAGACCAGCCTGGGCAATTTGGCAAGACCTCGTTCTCTACAATAAATCAAAAAATTAGCTGGGTGTGGTTCCAGCTACTTGGAAAGCTAACGCAGAAGGATCGCCTGAGGCCAGCAGGTCGAGGCTGCAGTGGCCATGTGTGTGTTACTGCACTCCAGACTGGGCAACAGACCAAAACTCTGACTCAAAAAATAACTAAATAAGCCGGGCTCAGTGGCTCAGCCTGTAATCCCGCACCTTGGAAGGCTGAGGTGAGTGGACTGCCTGAGCCTGCGAGTTCGAGACCCGCCTGGGCAACTTGGCAAGACCGCATCTCTACAACAAATAAAAAAAAAATTAGCCAGGCATGGCAGCTCGCCCCTGTAGTTCCAGCTACTTGGAAGGCTGAGGCGGAAGGATCGCCGGAGCCCAGCAGGTTGAGGTTGCGGTGGCCGGGAGCGTGCCACTGCACTCCAGTCTGGGTGACAGAGTGAGACTCCAACTCAAAAAATAAAAATAAATAAATAAATAAATAAAAGGATTGATTGTCATACAAGTTTCCCGTGGGTTTGCTATATGGAAATGACCATGATAAAGTGAATCCTTTGGCTCAATCTTGCTCCTCAGAGACCAGGTTCTGTTGAGATCATAGCTCCGTCTGTAGTTTCAAAATTGTTCTCCCATGGTTAATACTTCCCTAGGAGTAGGGCTTCTCCCATTAATTAGCAATGAAAGCTTGTGTATTCAATCCTTCTGTTCTCTTTAGGTTTCCTACTATTACAAAGCAGAAATAAGAGCCAGAGGCTCAAAGCTCTTGGTCTAAAACTCAGGAAGAACTAATAAGCTCTGCAGGCTGGAGAGCTGAGCCATCTCCCAGGAAAAACATTGACACTATCCTGGAAAAAAGAAGTTTCATTCAGTTGTAGCCCATTAGAGAAGAGTAAATCCCCAGCTATCCTTAGGGACATCACTGAATATCTTTACTTAAATGCCATCCAAATGACTACCAGGTCAAGATCTATGTACTTAAAGACGAGAAAGGGTAAAAGGCGTCACAGCTCACATAGAGATCCTGTTGCCTTAATTTATTTATCTTTTTTTTTTTTTTGAGTTGGAGTCTCACTCTCGCCCAGACTGGAGTGCAGTGGCCGCTCCCGGCCACCGCAACCTCGACCTGCTGGGTTCCGGCGATCCTTCCGCCTCAGCCTTCCAAGTAGCTGGAACTACAGGCGTGCACTACCATGCCCGGCTCATTTTTGATTTATTGTAGAGATGCAGGTCTCGAACCCGCAGGCTCAGGTAATTCACTCACCTCAGTCTCCCAAAGTGCTGGGATTACAGACTTAGCCACTGAGCCCGGCTTATATTTTGTTTCTTGAGTCAGAGTCTCACTCTGTCGCCCAGGCTGGAGTGCAGTGGCACGCTCACGGCCATACCAGCGTTGACCTGCTAGGCTCAGGAGAACCTTCCACCTCAGCTTTCCAAGTAGCTGGAACTACAGGTGTGTGCTACCACACAAGGCTAATTTTTGATATATTGTAGAGACGAGGTCTCACCAAGTTGCCCAGGCTGGTCTTGAACTTCTGGGCTCGGGCAATCCTCTCACCTTAGCTTCCCAAAGTGCTGGGATTACAGGTTTGAGCAATTTTTTTTTTCCTGAGGCGGGGTCTCATTTGTTGCCCAGCCTGGAGTGCAATGGCATGATCATGGCTCACTGTAGCCTCGACTTCCTGAGCTCAGGTAATCTTTCTGCATCAGCCTTCAGAATAGCTGGGACTACAGGTAAGCACTACCATGCCTAGCTAATTATTTTGAATTTTTTTTTGGTAGAGAAGTCTCATTTTGTTGTCCAGGCTGGTCTGAGCTCAAACAATCCTCCCGCATCAGCCTTCCAAAGTGCTGGGATTATAGGCATGAGCCAGCGTGCCCAGCTCCTGCTGCTTTTAAATACACATTACAAGTATATAAAGTACGAGTGTGCAACACATATTGTGAAAGTCAATGTGTAATCTGTGACACAGAGAAATTAAAATATTGACTGGGTATTTGATGTTATGAAAGAAATACTATTAACAATGTTGGGGTTTTATTTTCAATAAGATAAATTTTTTAGAAATACATACTGAAAAATGGATAAGTGATATTATATTTGGGATCTGTGTCAAAATTATCTTGATCAGGGTGTGGGGGGACATGTGGGTGAGGGTCACAGATCTGGAGATGGCAAATTTTTTCTATTAAAAGCCACAAAGTATTTTAGGCTTTGCAGGCCAGATAGTCTATCGCAATTACTTAACTCTGCCACTGAAGCAAGAAAAGGAACCATTAAGAGTAAGTAAACAAGCCGGGCTCAGTGGCTCAGCCTGTAATCCCGCGCCTTTGGGAGGCTGAGGTGAGTGGATTGCCTGAGCCCGCAGGTTCGAGACCCGCCTGGGCAACTTGGCGAGACCTCATCTCTACAATAGATCAAAAATGAGCCAGGCATGGTAGCACGCGCCTGTAATTCTGGCTACTCGGAAGGCTGAGGTGGAAGGATCGCCCAAGCCCAGTGGGTAGAGGCTGCGGTGGCCAGGAGCAGTCACTGCACTCCAGTCTGGGTGACAGAGTAAAACTCCAACTCAAAAAAAAAAAAAGAGTAAGTAAACAAATGAGTGTGGCTGTGTTCCAATAAAACTTCATTTACAAAAACTGGTAGAGTGGCCGGGCACAGTGGCTCACGCCTGTAATTCCAGCACTTTGGGAGGTGGAGGCAAGAGGATTTCCTGAGCCCATGGGTTCGAGATCAGTCTAGGCAACTTGACAAGACCTCATCTCTACAATAAATCAAAAAATCTGCTGGGTGTGGTGGTATGCGCCACTTCCAGCTACTTGGAAGGCTGAGCCAGAAGAATTGCCTGAGCCCAGCAAGTCGAGGCTGTGGTGGCCATGAGTGGTGCCACTGTGCTCCAGCCTAGGTGACAGAGCAAGACTCTGACGCAAAAAAAAAAAAAAAAAAAAAGTAGACAACAAAGTGAGCACTAACAATAACAGATTATGAGTTTCATTCCCAGAAGGGAGGTTAAAGAGAGGAAACCCAAACATTCTACTGGAAAACTAAAGCTGAAAGCAGCCCATCCATGGAAATGTATAGGGCCAGAAGATGAGGTGGTACTTGCATGGCACACACCAAACAGTTGAACCAAACAAAACCCGGGAGCTCGACTAGGACTCTCCATTTCCAATAGCCTTTCTCTCTGCAAGCTAAGAAGAGGGAAGGAGTGCAGATTTTCATGCAGGTGCCCTTCGTGCCTTTACTGGAAGGTGACTCTTTCCTGAGAGCAGAATACATTCCCCTTTGAAAGCTCTCAGGACCAGGAGACACATGTGGAAAGAACTTTCTGTCCCTGGCAGACAGGGAACCCAACCCATTTTCCTTGAACTTGGACAGTCTTCCCTCACTTGGAAGCATCTCTCATCCTTTGGTTTTGGAGAACTCAGCTACGTTCTCACAAAGCCCAGTTGGATGAGAAATACTCTGCCTTCAGGGGCAGGCTGGGTACAGGGTACAGTGAACGGCATCAACACTCTTTCTACCTTGGCCTTCCTGCTTCTCTTGTTTCCCAGAGCTCCTCTAAAAATTCTAGGAGGTCCTTAGAAATAAGAGCAAAATTAAGGTAAATGGATAGACAATCACATGACCCAGGGTAAATGTCACTGTACTCTGCTACCTCTGTAGAAAGAGACCATTTCAAGAAGCCATCAGGTAACTCAGTGACAGTCCCAAAGTCTCAGGGTTTGTTGGTTCATGCCTTACCCTGGAGGAAGGGGCCGCTCCCAGGTGGTGGTCTTGGTATTGTGGTCAACATAATAGACACGTCCATTGGGCAGCTCTCGCTGTTCCCATCTGAAAAATAAAGTCAAGGGAAGCATGAGGAACATAGTTGAAAGGCATAAGCTCCAGTCATGCACTCATGCCTGTAATCCCATCACTTTGGGAGGTAGAGGCGAGAAGATTGCCTGAGCTCAGGGGTTCGAGTACAGCCTGGGCAACTTGGCAAGACGTCATCTCTACAATAAATCAAAAAATTAGGTGTGGTGGTGCACGCCTGTAGTTCTAGCTACTTGGAAGGCTATGGTGGAAGGATCACCTGAGCCCAGCAAGTCGAGACTGCAGTGGCCATGAGTGTGCCACTATACTCCAGCCTGGGTAACAGAGTGACACTCCAACTACAAAAAAAGAGAAAGAAAGGCATAAGCTTCTGTTAGAAAGGAAAGCCTCACCACAGCTGTGGCTGATCTAAAGGAAATAGCAAAGATGACAGGCAAGGTCAAGCCAGCTCTGTCTATGGCAGTGCCAACAGGAATGCTTCTTCTTTTTTTTTT